CCCGCCCCCGGCGCGCCCCTCCCCGGCCGCCGCGTCCGCACCGCGCCCGGCTCGGGGTTCGGCGCAGCACCTGGGCCACGGCGGCGTCCGGCGGGCGCGCCGCCCTCCCCATGACCACGGCCGGCGCCCCGGGCTCTCTGCCCGCGGGGTAAGTGCGCGGCGGCCCCGGGGGCGCGGGCGGCGGGCCGGGGCGGCTGGGGGCTGGGGCCGGGCCTCCCGCCGCCCGCCCGCGGCCGCACTGCGGCGCCCGGCCCCCCGCCCGACCTCCGGGGCCGCCGCCTGGGCGCGGGGGGCTGCAGAAAGGAGGAGCAGAGGGGAGGCGCCGGGGCCCGGGTCGGTCACTCCCCTTTGGTCCCAACTTTCTCCCGAAGCCGGAGGTACAGCCACGTTCAGAGCCGCCGTCCTCCTCGTGGCGTTTACACCTGTGGGTGGGCTCTGTGATCCCCTCCATTACGGACGAGGAAACTGAGGCATAGCTCTTAACTGACCGGTCTTCGGTCACCCAGGAGGTGAGAGGTGGGCTTGGTGTTAGAACCCAGCTCCGTCTGATGCCGGGGTCCACACCCGCAGGCCACACTGCCTCGTCTTCAGGGTTATTTGGAGGAGTTAAAAGGCGAAGATATGAACCGACCGGCCCCTTGGGCGCAGCAGGAACCGGGGTAGTAAAAGTGGGTGTTGTCACTCCCAACAAGGCTTTCCTGCCCCACCCCCACCCCCACTGAGGGACCCTGTGGGACCCCTACCCTGCCCCTGCAGCGGCGACAGCTGCCAACTGCTGGGAGACGTGGCGACTCTGCCTTTCCTGGGCCCCAGTGGGAAGGGGGTGGCTGCTGGGAACCCCGGCTGTTGGGAACCCCCCGCTGCGGGGAGGTTGCTGGGTGGAGATCCGGCCCAGGTGAGGTGGGGGTGCCCGCCTTATCTGGAGCCTCATCACCAGGGTCAATATTTGCCAAGGGCCTCAGGGCTAACACATGACCAGGGAGGTAACCAGGCTGGTGCCAGCTGTCAGCTGGAGGCCTCTACAGGGCCTGTGCGCGCCCCAGGCTGAGGGCTTGGAAGTGGGCTGGCTGGTGGACCCTGGCCTGGGGGAGGGCTGCCTGGTGAGTCTTGTCTTGAAGGATTGTGTTGTCTGATTTTGGCCAAATCCTTTATCCTCCCCAGACTTCTGATCCCTCCTTTGGAAAACACGGAAACTGAGCTGGCTGCTCCCTTCCTGCCCTGGGCTGCATTTGTAAATCTGGAGCCTGGTTAGGTCCCTTCTCCCCAGCCTTGATGAGCACCACCCCATTTGGCCCAGAAAAGTGGTTTCCAGGAGAGAAGGCAGGCGTGGAGCAGGACACCTATCAAAGAATCCTGAACTCCCACGTTCATCCCTCTTCCTGGCACACTCACCTCCCTGCCTGCGTCCCCTCTGCAACTCTGGGCTCCTGTGGCCTCTCCAGCTCGCTCTTGTAGCGCTGGCAGCTCTCCCTCGTACTGAACCATTCCTGGCCCCCTGCATGCCCTCCAGGTCCCATTCTTCTTTGAAGCCGCTCAGGTCCATTTGCCCCTGCCCCTGGTCGGTGCCACCCTGGTGGGGTCTGAGCAGAGCAGGGCAAAGCAATTCCACCTTTGCCATAGCCCCTCATTCAGTCACTCAGCTTTCCTGAGGCTTGCTCTGGGCCCAAACGCTGTGTATGAGAGTCAGCGGTGAACAAACCAAGCTTTAAATCTCCACCCCTTTAAAAATTATGAAATATCTTAAACCTTCAGGAAAATACAGCAAATAATGAAATGAACTCCATGCTCTCGCCACCCAGCATTTTCAGATATTAACATTGTGCTCCATTTATTTCATATTCTTCTTTTTAAGAAATAAACCATGGCAGAGACCACTGAAGCCCCTGTCGGCCCCTCTCCAGAGATAATTGCCGTCCTGAAGTTTTGGTGTTATCATTTCTCTGTTTTTATTCTTTTGCTAAAAAATAGTTTGTTCTTTACAATTTTTATGTAAGTGGAGTCATACAGCATGAATCATCCTCCAGTTTGCTTTCTCGCGCTCAGCTTCAGGTTTCTGACATGTAGCCTTCTTGATCCTTTAGCTCTGGTCCCCACTCGCCCTGATGTGTGATAGACCACCCGATGTAGAGACATCCAGTTATTTCTTTATCCAGCTTTCTTGATGGACACTGAGGTGGTTCCCAGTGTCTTGCTATTCAAACAGTGAATATTCTCTACAGCTGTCCTTTGCACATGCGTGAGGGTCTTCTAGGTTCCCCGTAGGAGTGGCTCCTGGGTCACAGGATAGGTGCGCTCAATCTTTTCAACTTACTTAGTTTCATTATAAAAGCTGTGCTGCTCCCTAGAAGAAATGATGGAATATATCATCTTAGAAAAAAAATAACAATCACTACCATTTCCTGAGTACTTCTGATTGCACTTTACGTTGTCTCAGTTATTCTTCACAACAACCCTGGGAGGTAGGCACTGTCATTCCCATTTTGTTGACGAGCAAGTTGAGGCTCATAGAGGTTAAAGAATCTCCCCAAGTTTCTCCAGGAAGTAATTGCTGAGCTGCAGCTTGAGTCCAGGGTTGTCTGCTTTCAAAACTCTCAAAGGCCATGTTGCACTAGGCATGCCACGTCGTTCCATGCCACATACTTTATGCAAAGCTAATGAGGACTCAGGAAGCAGAGTCACAATCACATTTGCAATTTAGAAAGGTCACTTTGGAAGCGACAGGTCCCCATGGACAGGTTGCTTCACCCTCTGAACCAAAGTTCCCCCTCGTGGTGGAGCAGGGAGTAAAAGCCAGCTCTGACTCCAGTCACCTCCCTGAGTGACTTCCTCGTACTGCCCTGTACCTGCCTCACCCTGACTGCCCTTAGGGTAGGAGGGACCCTGAGATCCCCCAGCCCCACCCAGCTCTGCCCATCAGGCACTAAGGTGGCAGCTTCCAGACAGACCAAAGCCGGGAGGTGGAAGAGAAGAGGGGAGTGGGGTGGCTCCAGGCCTGACACACCCTCCCACCGTCCAGCTCCCTTCTCACTTGGGTCTCAAGTGCCCCTCCCCCACTATGCCAAAGCTCCTGGCTTGGTCACCAGCCCTGCTCCATGTTCCGTCCAGGAGCTCAATGCTCCTCCATGCCTCAGTTTCCTCAAGGCACAGTGGAGAGGCCACCATCACCACTCGGGAGCTCAGGAATATATTGGTCACGGCCTGGCAAGGTGGCTTGGAGCAGAAATGCCTTGAAGACGTGGGGCCGCCTGCAGAGAAGTGGGGACCTCCGTCACTGCCAGGGGAGGAGAAGGGTTTGGCAAGGTTGCTTTTGCTGAAAGCATTTCTGCCTTTTCTCAGGCTCCTAGGAGGAGACTAGGTTCCTGTCTTCACTTCTTTATCTGTCAAATGCTGATAAGGGCGGCTGCCTCTCAGGGCTGGTGGGAGGACTGACTGAAGCGGAGCAGTCATCGATTTAGATAACGCGAAGTGATAATCTCGTGGTGCTGATGGGGTCACTGTTAATGCTGTTAGTAAGTCAAGTAGGGCCAGGGTCCCTGGTCCTTCTGAGCCCCCTGCCAGCCAGGACGCCCCACCTCGTCTTCCACTTAGCAGGCCTTGCCGAGCTTCTGTCTTCCCACCCTGCCTTGTGCCTCCTCCTCACTATGATGTCGTGCCTCCAGTGCTTTCCTTGCACTCTTTCCCCTTCTTGGACGTCTTTCTCCATCTTGTCCTCAATTCAGCGCCGTCTTTTCTAGAAAGCTTCCTTGAGTGCCCCACTCCCACTTCTGGACCTCTTCACCCCCAGTCATTCCCATGATCTCAGCCCTGATGGCTCTGGCTGTCACTGCCTCTGCCAGCATCTGTCGCTCCTGCTTCTATAGACCTTGAGCTCCTCAACGGCAGGCCCAGGTCTGGGTCAGGTCTGGGTCACCTCTGCGTCCCTAGAACCCAACCCCAGGCCTGGCCCAGAGCGGGAGATTAGTGGGTATTTGTGGGAGGGGAGAGGGAGGAAATCAGCCCCAGGGCCGCCCCGAAGCAGCGCCCAGTCTGGTGAGGTCGCCTCAGACCCCTCACTACAGTTAAGCAGAAGAGGTACTGGGGCTGCCAGGGGAGGGAATAAGGCTCTGCGCTGTCTGTCCATCTGTTTGTCTATCTCTCTGTCCATCTTTCTCTCCAGGTAGACCAAGCGGGCAAAACTTCTTCCTTGGTGGTGGTGGGGTGTGTGCAGAAATGGCAGGCAGGCTCTTGCCTCTGGAATTGTTTGGCATGGACCTAAGCCAGGATAATGGAAAACTCCCTGGGGTGGAGCTGGTGGGCACTGGCTCAGGGAGACACGGGTTAGAAGCCATGCTTGGGTATGTGATCTTGGCGAAGTCACCTCTCCTCTGCCTCAGTTTCCTGTCCTGCAGTGGGGGTGATAGCCCCTCCTCTCAGGGCTTTGTGAGGGCTCAAGGAGAGAATGCAGTTACACTCGCCGGGCGGCAGGTGCTCGCTGCCTCTTCATTGATTCATCCAACAGACGTGGGTGCCCTGAGCACCAGTCACTGGGCGAAGCTGGTGGAAAGGCAAACACTGTCCCCACCTCGTGAAGAGAGGGGCAGAGGCTGCTTGCGGTCGGGCCTTTCTGCCATGGGGAGGAACTTGGTCTCTATCCTCAGAGTGATGGGAAGGCAGTGAAGGATTTCAGGTCCTGAAGTGACGTGGTCAGATTTGGGTTAAAAAAGATAAGTTTGGCTATTATGAGAGGGATGGATTAGAGGGAACAACGCTTACAACATTCTCCCTTATAGAAACTACCTGGAGGCTGGATGGCTTACAACAGATATCCTTTAAAACACATTCCTGAGCTCCCACAGAAATAACAAATCCTCTCAAGCCAAGATTAAAGAGGGGGCTGAAATCAGGCTGGAAAACGAGATGAAGCCACAGCAATTGGGAGAGTTTACCAATTCCAGAAACCCCGAACCTCGAGTTTTAACGGCCACTCAAGGGATGAGAAATAAGGTGCTGGGCCTACCCAGTGACAATGAAGGGAGTTGGAACTTAGCCCTCCTACCACCACCACGGGAATCTACAACCTTCAAGCACTGTACCCTTAGTGAATAGGGGCGTCGACCAGGAAAAAATATCTACCCACCCACAGAGGGAAACGACAGTTCTGGTGGGGAAACAAAGGCTCCCTAGAAAATTATAAATATTGCTCTGCCCTCACACAAATTTTGGGTTTGAATGCATACTCCCTTTGTGGTCCCGGAAATACTAAACTAAAAAAGTAACATAAGAGTCTCAGGGTGGTTGTGCCCCAGGGAGCCTGGCTGAAGTAAACGCAGATTCTCTCTGGAGGAATAGATCCTCCTCCTAAGATCCCTTTAGGATCAGTCAAATAGGAGCTCACAGAACGATTACAAAACACAGGAAGAAATGAGTCATTGTGAGCGATAGACACCAGAAGGAAGACATAGCAGAATGAGTTTCTCTGAGAGTCTAAGAGGCTAGAATTATGAGATTTGGAATATAAATAATTGTTTAAACAATGTGTTAAGAAATCAAAGATGGACTTGAAACAATAAGCAGGGAACAAAATACTGCCCCAAATGACCAAGCAGATTTGAAAAACAACCAAGTGGAATTTCTGGAAATGAAAAATATAATTACTGAAATAAAAAACTCAGAAGACATGATAAGTAGTAGATGAGATATACCTAAAGAGAATTAGTGAAATGAAAGATCTAAAGAAATTACTCAGACTCTAACAGAGAAAGCCAAAGAGATGGCAAAGAAGAGAGTTAAGAGACTTAAAGTACAGAGTAACGTGGTCTAACAGGGAGAGAAGGAGTAGGAGGGACGAGAGTGAAGGGCTCTTCCATCAGACCTGGGTACAGATGCTGGTGGACTGCACCGGAGGGCACTGGGCGTGGAAGGGGGTGGATTTAGAGATGTTCAGGAGGTAGAATTGATAGGGCTTAGAGATGGAGTAGGCCGTGGAGGCCAGGGAGAGGGATGTGTCAAGGATGACTATCAGATTTCTGGCTTGAGAAACTGGGTAGAGGAGTATCATTTATTAAGCTGGCAAAGTCTAGGGGGGAACAGATTTGGGAGAACGAACAAGTGTTTCAATTTGCATGGGAAGATCTGCTGATGGATCACAAAAGAGGAGACATTAGAGATGGGCCTTAAGGTATGTGTAGGAGTTTACCTGGTGGAGAAGGGACTTGAGGAAAAGGAGCTCCTTTCAGTGAGATCATTGAGGCCCTTTTTTGGAACCCACTCTCACTCAAAAGAGACCTCTTGAGAAGAGCCATCCTCAAGACCGTCAGATAGGACTTTTGGAATCTCCTAGTTTCATCTCATTTTTCAAATTTGGAAGCTGAGGCCCAGAAGGGTCAGGGATTTGCTCTCCTAGCCTTAGGCTTTTCATTCATTCATTCAGTCAGTCACTTAACAGCTATGTATCAAAAGCCCACTTTATAGCGATACTAGATACTGGGGATACTACAGTGAACAGGGCAAAGATTCCTGCCCTCAGAAAGCTTCTATTTTGGTGGAGGGAGACAGACAATAAATACAAAAATAGGAAAAAAGAAAAAAACACACGTCAGAGGGTGATAAGAGCTGTAAGAAGCATAACGACTGGGAGGGGGTCAGGAGGTGCCGTTGGGAAGGTGACCCTTGAGCACAAAAGGCCCTGGGCAGCTCTTGTAGGTCTCCTGCCACCATAGCCCATTGTGACAGTGTCTGGGGTTCTAGAGTGCAGGCCTGAGGAGGGCAGGAGAAGGCTAGAGAAGGAGGAAGAAAAGGATTGAAGAGGGACCTAGTGGGCAGGCTGTGCCCCCCAGGGGGGCAGAAAGCCCAATGGGTCAGAAGGGCCACAAAGACTCCCTTTACCCTTGTAGGGGGTAAGATTACTTATCCCGCAGGCTTCCTTGCCCCCCTGTCCTTGGCCCCTCCCCATCCACCAAATCTCAGATGACACCCCCATTCTGTTCTCCTACCTTTAGGAACCTTAGAGGTGGGTGCAAATTGTCCTTGTGTCCCAGTACAGAGTGGGCAGCCTGGAGGAGCTTGTGACAGGCATCCGGGGCCCACCAGGGAGGTTGAATGGGCCCTGGGAGGCTCTGTTCTAGCCAAGATGGGGGTTGAGGGCTCCCAAGTCACACCCAGTGTCTCTCCCTTCAGGACTCCTGTGAGCAGCCTCCATGAGGCCCTGGACCAGTGCATGACTGCCCTGGACCTCTTCCTCACCAACCAGTTCTCAGAAGCACTCAGCTACCTCAAGCCCAGGTGAGGCTTCAGTGCAGGTTGGGGGCGGGGCCTGTGTGTGAGCGCCAGCCGTGAGTCCACGTGTGAGCCTAGGGATGGGGGCTGAGTGAACCAGAGAGCTTGTGTGAGAGGAACTCCATGTAGTGTAACTGAACGCCTTCGGCCTTCTGGGTCACCATGACCCCTGGGAATCTCATAAAAATGGCTCAGGCTCCCCATTCCACACCCTTGAGCAACCAGGCCCTCCCCAAGGTCACCGTGACTGCCTTCCCCTTAGGTTCACGTGGCCTCTTCCACTTTGCTTTCTTGTTGCCACTGAGTCCACTCGAGGTTTCTCCCCCATCAACTCTAACACAGCCCCTTTTCTGTATTCTTCCCCAAAGCACTAAACGCTTGAGTTGCCTTTATTCAATCCTTTTAGGGTGCTAATGATGGTTAACCATTTCTTCTAGTGTTTACTGCCTTCTTGCTTGCTTTCTTTTTTAAACAGATTTTATTATTATTATTTTTTTAAGATCGGCCCTGAGCTGACATCTGTTGCCAATCTTTTCTTTTTCTTCTTCTTCTCCCCAAAGCCCCCCAGTACCTAGTTGTATATTCTAGTTGTGGGTCCTTCTAGTTCTGCTGTGTGGGACGCCACCTCAGCGTGGCCTGATGAGCAGTGCTAGGTCCACGCCCAGGATCTGAACCGGTGAAATCCTGGGCCACCAAAGTGGGGCATGCGAACTTAACCACTTAGCGATGGGGCCGGCCTCTGCCTAATTTCTAAATAATATGCTTATACTGCTTTTTCTTTATCACTTTTTTCGAAACTGAAGTTAAATTGAGATATATAATTCACATACTATAAAATTCTCTTTTTTACCTTTAAACATCATCTATTGGTAGACAACAATTCAGCTTTCTTGTACCCCTGCCCCACCTCCCTTCCCTCACCCTCCTCTTAACATTATATCATATTTGGCTAAGTCAATAATCAACGTTTCCATTATTATAAGTATGTAATTAATGTTCATTGCAAAGACAAGTTGTACATTGTACAATATTTCCTTTCTAGAGTTAATAATTGTCTTTTTTCATTTCCCTAATTTACTATACATCTGTCCTGAATTCTCTATAAGCTCTCCATCCAATCATGGTGTCATGAGTTTTTCCCTAAATGCTCAGACGTGTCAGGTAAGTGCTCAGTCCCTCCTTTTCCTGGAAACCTGCCCCCTGCAGGACAGACCTGTCTACTGGCCACCTCCCAGCGGTCTCCTGGAACTTCCTGTGCTTCTCTCTTGGTTCCTTGATCTGGCTTTTTCTGTCTCATATCCTCCCTCATTTTACCAGAGCTTGTCCTCTAGAAATTCCCTAAGAAAGAGTAGCATGAATATAATTTCCCCTCTCAGAATTTTGAAGGCATTACACCCTTGTTTTCTAGCATCTGCTGTAACCGCGAGGACCTGAATTCTTCTAACTTTGCATGTGATCTTTATTCCCTTTCCAGAAATGTTTAGGATCTTCTCTTTTATTCCAGCAATTCTGAAATTTCACAATGATGTACTGGAATGTAGGTCTTTTTTATTTGTTTGTTTGTTTGTTTTTGAGACTTTATTTCAGTTCTAGGAAATTCTCTCATATGATCCTTCCATGTTCTGTTTTCCTTTCCTGGGCTCTTTTTTTTTTTTTAAAGATTTTATTTTTCCTTTTTCTCCCAAAGTTCCCTGGTACATAGTTGTGTATTTTTAGTTGTGGGTCCTTCTAGTTGTGGCACGTGGGACGCCGCCTCAGCATGGCCTAATGAGCGGTGCCATATCCGTGCCCAGGATTCGAACCAGTGGAACCCTGGGCCGCTGAAGCAGAGCGTGCGAACTTAACCACTCAGCCATGGGGCCAGCCCCTTTCCCGGGCTTTTTTAAAGTTAGATATTGAACTTCTTGGATCAGTCCCCTTTTAAGCTTTTATCTCCCCCATACACTTTTTGCATTTCTTTATCGTTTTTTCCTCTGATTTTGGGGATATTTCTTCAACCTTATCATTAAATCCTTCTATTGACTTTTCTTTTTTTGTGTAATTGTATGATTGATTTCCTAGTATTCCTCATTGTTCTCTGAATGTTCTTTTTTTTCCCAAAAACGTCTTATTCCTGGTTTATGAGTGCATTTTGTTCTTTATGTCTCTATCTGGAGTACGGGAGTCCTTAGGACAGGGCCTGGCATGTTAAGCACTCAAGTATTTATTACTAGTAATATCACAGAGTATTATCTCTTTGAAAAATGTTTTATTCTTTTTCTGCATAATCTTGGTGTTCTCCAGGTTCCCTTTTTCTGTTTAATGGGAGGAATCTTCTTTTCGTGGGGCCTCCTTCAAATGCCTGATGGTCCCTGACTGTCTGGTCATGTTGAAGAGCGAGCTCACTCGTGGCCGACTGGAAAGTCTGGGCCCAGCAGCTTTGTGGTTGATGGGCTTGGCTTTTGGACGATCTGGTTGAGAGCTGGCCCCAGATCAGCTTCTCTGGGGCAGAATCCTCTGCTCCTAAGCCTGGACGGAGAACCCCTGGCTGTCTGAATTCTGGGATTGGGGTAGGGTTGAGGGGCCAGGGGTCTAATGATGTCTGCTGCCTACTTGCCTAATCCCCTCTTTTCAGCTCTAGGTTGGCCTCTGCCACACCTGGTTCCCCCATGCCCCAGGGGAAAGCAGATGCTGAGGCGGGGGACTGCTTTCCCCAAGCCTGGGCTGTTCAGTTTCTCTAGACTTGACTGACCCACCATTCTCCTGTCTGGGGTCAGTGGCCCAGCTTCTGGAGCGATGGGGTTCCAGGGCGTGATGATCATGAGTCTTACAACAGTCCCTCCAGCAGCAGTCCCCACGCCTCATCCCTACCCTCTGAGGGGATCTGGGCTTGAGGTGGGGCAGGGCCGGGTCTGCAGCAAGTGTGGCCACGTCTGAGGCAGGCTGAGCCCCATCCTGCTCCCTCATTGAACATCCGGGTTCCCCTCCCAGTGTCTTTGGAAGGCTACCTGGCTCCGCTTCCCTCCTGGTCATCACCTGTCCCTAAATGGGCTCTACCTGGCCACCTGCCTCGTCCCCCTTACCCCCCTCCCACACCCTTTCCCCTCTAGCCTCCTTCCCTCTCCCCCAGGCCCTTCCTGGTTGAGAGGCTGCCTCACCCTCCCTCACCTCATGGGGGCGCTCTACCAGGAGTCCTGCAGCTCAGACCCCTGAGAAGAAACGCTTGCTCTGAAGGAGGCAGCGCAGAGAGACCGGTCTCCCCCTGAGGCTGCCTTTTATCTCACACTTAAGGCAGTGAAGCTTCTCTTTGTCTTAACCCCTGCCCCTTCCAGAACAAGAGCTTTCCTTTCTTTTTGAGTTTAAGAGCTTTCCCCTCAAGCAGTAGATTTCATTAGCATACTCCCCACCCCACCTTATGACAGCCAAAAAATGTTTCCAGAAATTGCCAAATGTTGGGGGTGGGATGGGCAGTAAAAAAATACCTGCCCTCTCTGTTAAGAACTACTGGTCTAGAGGAAATAATTCTTGCTAAGAAATGGCCTCCCCTCCCGACTCGTAGCCATTGCATCTTCAGAAGTGCTGGGGTCCTCTTTCATTCTTGCTCCTCGCAGTACACACAGTGTCTCATTAATTCTTATCCATAGTTTGCCCCCCTCCAGCTCCAGGGAGTAACCGGGCTTGCCAAGCTCCCCTCCCCCCCACCCTCAATATTTGCTTTCTAGTTGTCACTTCTTTGAGTAGCTTCTAGTTTATTTTACTTCATGCTATGTCTGTCCATGAGTGCTGTCTCTGGAACAGGGTAGCTGCTCCATTAGTTTTCCTTGATTAAAAAATGGTCATGGTTAGTAAGCCGCAGAGCTGGGATTCAAATCCAGGCCCACCCAGCTCTGCCATCCGCGCTCTGCCTCCTCGGCGTCTTGGATCTCAGGCAGGCAGAGGAGTTTACCTGGGATGGGAGGCCTCCCCAGGCATGAAGGAGGTAGAACAGTGTGTCGAGGCGGTGGGGGAGGGGGTGGGGTGGATGCAAAGGCCCCTGCTGAGAGTGAGGGGCCAGGCTGGTGTGTGTGGGGGACGACAGGGACTGGGGAGAAGTTTCTGAGCAGCATGACGGGCCTGGCCGAGGTTGGTCGCCCCTGCTCAGTGTGTGCCTGTCTGTGCGGCTGGCGGCTTCCTCCAGCCTTGCTCAGTGGCAGCGCAGAGAAAGTGGACAGTGGCTGGCTCCTGGGCCCAGGGCTCCTAATCTGGGGCAGCAGGAGGTTGGAAGCTCAGCAGTGAATATTTTGACAAGAGCGTGGCTGGTATGAGGAAGTTAAGTTGGGAGGTCAGGAAAGGAGGCCAGGCTGGAGAGGGGGATGGGGCAGAGGGAGTGATAAGGGAGAGAGTGGGAGGGTGGGTGGGAGGGGGAGTGGGATCATCTGACTCCAGAAGCAGAGCCATTCTGTGGGACGATGAGGGGGTCATGTTGGGATCCGTGGTGGGCACCTGTCGCGGGTTCATTCAGCGCCACCTCCTGAGTGTCCTTGTGTGCCTGGCGGTGTGAGGGTGCTGGGGCTGCAGCACTGAGCAAGATGTGGCTGTTCTCGGTTCCTTGGAAACTGCGAAACAAGCAATAAGGGTGGTGCGGAGAGTTATACAGGAACCCCAGCTCCTGGGAAGGGGTGGGTCAGGAAGGCTTTAGGACCAGCCACGTAATTTCCCGGGTGCATTGCATGAAAACATGAGGTCTTTTGTTAAAAAATTAGTAAGGATTTCAAGACTCCAACAGCAGAGCATTAAACCAAGCATGGGGCCTTTTTAGACATGGGGCCCTGTGTAACTGCAGAGATCACACAACCGTGAAGCCAGCTCTGGAAGGCTTCCCGGAGGAAGTGACATTTAAGCTGAGATAGGCTGGATGAGAAGGAGTCAGCCAGATGGAGAGGGCATTTCTAGGCAGAGGAGCAGCCTATGCAAAGGCCTGGCAGGGAATGAGGGTCTAGTATATTTCAGGAAGAGAGACACACAGCCTAGCTGGAATGGGGAGAGCTGAGGCAGGTCCCAGAAGGGAGAGGGCAGGGTCAAGGAAGGTGGACTGGGGATATGGGTCCCCTGCAAGGTACTTGGGCTGGAGAGGAGGGCAGTGAGGTGGGGTCTGAGAGGACCGGGAAGTGGGGTGGGCGGTTCCATGCGGATGAAGGAAAGCCTTCCAGCCTAGAGCAGCCTCACCCAGAGAGGTCCTCGGGAACTGAGGCCTTTGGCTGGGACTGGGAGTGGGGGTCCCCAGGAAGGAGAAGGGGGAGTTGGGTCAGAGTCAGGAGGCCCAGATGGTGGGGTCAAGGATGGCTGACAAGTAGCCACTGAGGGCCTGAGCCTTGGCTGCTGGCAGAGGAGGGAAGGGCCTGAGCCCACTGGACTCGGCTGACCTCCAGGTGGCCAAGGAGTCCTTGGTGCCGATACCCTGCTCTTCTACTTCCCTCTCCATCTGGACCGCTGGTCTGGGCCCAGGAAGTGGGCATCAGGTCCCAGAGCTCCGTCTAGCTCAGAGGTGAAGGGAGCTGCCAGGGGTCTGGATGCTATATGTGCAAACAAGAACTTTGTGGAGTGCAAACTAAACTTGGGGTGTTTGAAGTCTGGGGGTTTGTCATACCTGTGTGCCCAGAATCCCAGTCCACATCATAGTTGGGGGGCTTCCAGGGGGTGGGGCAGGGAGAGGCCAAGATTCCCAGCTGCAGGTGCCATGTCAGGGCCTTTGCCCTCAAACTAGAAATTCCGCTTTGCCTGCCAGCAGCCTAGGCGGGGCTGTCCCTCTTTCTGGGCCCAGCATGCACTGGGCTCAGCAGGTGGGGCTGGGTAGCTCAGGCAGAGTCCCGGCCTTGGGTCTGGGCTGGGAAGGGAGGAAAGAGGCAGGGGCCTGAGAGCTGGAGAGGCCTGTGGGGAGGGGATTACCTGCGGGGTGGGTCCTGTGCCGCCTGGGAAACCCCTCCTCAAGGAGAAAGTTTTTATCCAGAGCAGTAACCCTTGACCCCGGCAGGACGTGGAGGGACTCACATTTATTGAGCATTGGTGATGTAGCCCTGGCTGGGCATCCTACTTAAGCCCCCCACAGTCCTGGGAGAGAAGCGTTATTGTATCCATTTTACAGAGGAGAAACTTGAGACTCAGCGAGGGGACAGGACTCACAGGATCACACAGCTGGTAACTGGCCACGCCTGTGTCTGAGGGACTCTGAGTTCCATGGCCTCCTTTCCACAAGCCACTGCCCTCAGATTAAACAGTTCTAGCAAAGACCTGGGAGGTGTCCTGATAGCTACCAGGGCTGGGAGGGGTGGGCCAGCCTTTGGTTTCCTTCAAAAACCTTTGCCTCCCAAGGATAGTATCACCCAGAAGTAAAAAAGCACCTTAATTTACAGGTGTTTTATGAATGAGAAAGGCAGGCACATGGGTAGTGTCATGTGGTTTTACAATAGAACCATCTATAAACCTTGCTTAGGAACTCTGTCTCCCCTGAAGCTCCCAGCATCAGCCTGGTGCTGAGGAGTTTTTTAAATAATTAACGAGGGAGCGTCGGGAAGGGGGTGGAAAATGCTCCAGCACCTACTGTGTGCCAGCCATTGGGAATCCCAGCCAGTCCTACACAGACAAGGGTAGCTTTACTGTCCCCATTTTGCAGAAGCATAAATCAAGGCCCAGACTCGTGGCTTCCCCAAGTACAGAGAGGGACGGGGGTTGTTCCCATCTCTCCTTGCCTGCTGCACTCTCCGTGTGTTAGATGAAATGCCCCTCCCCTACACACCCAGTTGATGGGTCTGGGGCTGTGGAGGGCAGGGAGGTAGGAGGGGAGGGCTCCCTGAGGCCATCTGACCCAGCCCTGTCCCACTGGCGCTGAGGACAGAGATGAGTCCCACACAAGCTCTGTCCTTGAGGTGCTGACGGTCTGGAGAGAGAGCTGAGCCTCTGCTAGTATAAATACAGCGTGATTTGTGCCTCAGTCGTAGACACGTGCTCTCTGAGAGGGAGCCCTGGATTCCCAGTGGCTTTTGAGGCATTTGAAAGCTTTGACAGATGAGTCAGTGGATGTGGGGTAGGGAAGGGCATTTCAAGCTGAGGGAACAGCATAGGCAAAGGCCCGGAGGAGGGAAAGTGTGGGATTTTCTTGAGGAGAGCGTGTGTGTTTCCGTGTGGTTAGAGGTACAGTCTTGAATGTGACCAGATCATGGGGCAGAAGTGGAAGTGCCAAGAGGGCTGGACTGCAGAGGTGGGCAGGGCTTATCGTGTGGAGCCTCGCGGCCGAGCCTCATCTCATAAGCCACTGGAGGGCTTAACCAGAGCAACGTGATCAGATGATGGCATGAGAGAGGCAGGAGGTGGCGAGGCCAGTGAGGTCCAGGGACCAAGGATGGGGCAGGCCCAGGGGGAGGCTAGAGGATAGATGAGCTCCCACAGACGGGACTTAGGCTCAGCCTGTGGGAGGTGGGGCAGAAGGCGAGAGGCAGGCCCTGGGCACAGGGGAGTCCGGCCTCAGACCCACACATTGCTGCTCCCTGTTTGAGTCCTCACAGCAGTCTTGCTGCTTCTGTCTCTCTGGAACAGATGAGACACTGAGGCTCAGATTTGGAAAGTCACTTAGGGCCTCTCAGCAGGAAGGGGAGGAACTGGGATGCGAGCAGCAGTGGAAGGGTCAGACCTTGGGCGAGTCCCTTCCCCTCTCTACACCTCTGTCCCCCCGTGCAGGATGGGGGAGGGCATGGTAGGTGACCAGCACAGGCTCAGCTGCCTCTGGAGTCCTAGGAGTTGGCGCTCTCATGTCCCTTCTCTCTGGCAGAACCAAGGAGAGCATGTACCACTCGCTGACGTATGCCACCATCCTGGAAATGCAGGCCATGATGACCTTTGACCCTCAGGACATCCTGCTTGCTGGCAACATGATGAAGGAGGCGCAGTCGCTGTGTCAGAGGTCGGGGCTGTGGGGCGGGCAGTGATGAGGAGTTGTGAGACCCATCCTTCTGTCACCTACGCCTATCCCAGTGCCTGAAATGCCACTATTAGTGCTGCTCCTTTTGGCTAAGAGGACGTGGCCCCAAGTGCCAAGAACTGTTCCTGTCAGGACTGCCTCAGGAGCCTTGTTGTCTGAGCCAGTCAGTGAGCAGCTCCCAGGGGCCAGGCCTGATTGGGAGGAGACGAATTCTGGCTCTGTCACGTAATAACTCTGACCTTGGGCAAGTCCCTCTCTGGACTCAACTTTCCTCATCTGTAAAGTGGGTGTGATGATAGGGTTGTTGTGGGGACTGAATGAAGACACCAGTCACAGGGCCTGGTACATAACCGGTGTTGGGTGCACGTTAACTGCTTGAATGAGCAAACGAATAGACCCTCAATGTTCCTGCACAGGTGGAGTTGTCATTCACTGGGCACACTCTCATGCCTGCCTGAGGCCGGGCCCTGTGCTGGGCTCTGGCCACCCGGGGAGTCATCAGACCCCGGCCCCTCCGATGGGGAGATGGGCACAGACAGTGACACCCCAGCCTCATGCAGGGAAGGTCCCAGGTCATAGGGGTCGAGCTGGAGGAATGGGAAAGCTTCCTGGAGGAGGCGATGCTGGAGCTGGGTCCTGAAGGGTGACTAGGAACTGGCCAGAAGAGAGGGAGGAAGGAAGGAAGGGGCCTCTAAGTGAGGCAACGGTAGGGGCAGAGGTGTGACAAAGCCTGGATTTGGGGGAGGCAGTTGAGTGGGTGTGAGTCCTTTGGGAGGGGCAGGAGACGCAGTCCGAGCCCGCCTGGGCCCCTGGCTCCCCCTCACTGAGTGACTTGAGGCCCCCTTTTCTTTTTCAGGCACCGGAGGAAGTCCTCTGTAACAGACTCCTTCAGCAACCTGGTGCACCGCCCCACTCTGGACCAGTTCACGGAAGGTGTGGCATTCAGGATGTCCTCTCCACCCCAGCGACCCCAGGCAGCCTGGGTCCAGGCCCAGGGAGGGGCAGGAAGGGGCGGTTATCTTCCCAGTCATTGCCAAGCGGGCTGGGCCCTGGCCTAGATGCTGGGACATGGGTGGGTCAGACCTGTGGCCTTTTGAGGAGTGTCGCTCGGGTGAGAGGGGAGCAGGCAAGACTCACTGTCCTGATCACGTTACCTCTCCAGGACCTGGAAGTTGGGGAAAGAAAATGCTGTCACATGTCCTGTGCACTTTGCTCCTCAGGCTGGGGAGGGCTTAGAATTGTGTGTGGGCTTAGGTCCACTGGCTTGATTATCATGGTGGTCTCGTGGTGTGCCCAGAGGGGAATGTGGCTTTAGAGGCTGACACCCTGGGATGAGAGCTGAAGGCAGCAGGAGAGCAGGTCTGCGCTGCCAGAGCCTGGCTGGCATCTTTGTGCCGTGGCCACATGTGGCAGTCCGGGAGGTAACGGCAGCCAACCATGAGCCATGGGGGGCTCTTCACTGCAGGGGTGGATGGCCTTCCCCACCTCCAGAGCCCTTGAGGGTTCCCGCATGAAAGCAGGCATATGATGGTGCCACTCCCTCCATCAAACCTTGCATGGCTCCCTGCTGCCCATAGGACCAAACCTACAATCCTCCATCAGTGTTCAAGGCCCTTTGCAAACAGGCCTCTGCCTCCCCTCATCTCTCCCTGCCCCCTAAATCTCTCTCCACCATGTCACCCCCGTTTCAACCTTCCCTGACTCAGCTGTCCCCAGCATCTGTGTTGTTTGGCTCTCCTGGGTCTTTGTCTAGAAAACTCTTTCTGCCTCATCCTTCCAGTCCTTTCTCAACTCACAGCCCAAACTCAAATGCGCTTTGTTCTAGAAGTCTTCCGATTCCCCAGGCTGTGTTGGTTTTCCTTTCCTGAGTCCCACACCGTGGCTTTGATCAGGATCTTCTTTTTCATCCATTCAACCCAGCACCTTCTCCTTGCCCAGCACTGTGGGGTGTTGGTATACAGCACATACAGTGATTCTTGGAGAACAAGAGAGGCAGGCCCAGGGTCCTGTGCTGACATTCTGGGTGGTGGAGTGGGGGAACCAGGTGGAAGACTGGGGGGAAACGTAAGCTAACCCGGGACGGTGGTGAGTGCAATGACATTCCCAGAGCTGGGTGAGAAGGGAAGGGGGAGGAGGAGGGGAGGGGGCTGACTCATGTTCCATTTGCCTTTTGGGAGGTGGGCGTGGAGGACTTGGCCCAAGCCTCCTGCTGGGAGTCCCGTGAGGCCACAGGGCTTTGGTCTTCTCCCTGCAGAGGAAATCCACGCGGAGGTGTGCTACGCAGAATGTCTGCTGCAGAGGGCAGCACTGACCTTCCTGCAGGTAGGAGCCCTCGACCTGCACAGGCAGCCTGGGGGTTTCAGGAGATCCATCACCATGTCTAAGCCAGAAGAGTCTGTAGCAGCCATGATCAGCCCCCGTGTGGTTCAGCCAAGGACTGGGGCTCAGTCGCCCCAACACTCCTGGCCCTGACCAGGCTCAGGGGCAGAGGGGATGGGCTGTACCCCCTCCACACTGAGCACACGCGTTCCCGTCTACTACCAGGATGCACTCCCCTCTCAGGGCTTCTCTTTCCCACTGAGGGTTGTGTGGGTGACAGGCATTGTCACAAAGCCCGCTGTACACTTGATTCATTCAGAAGGCTGACTTATGGCACCTACGCCGGACCAGGCTTTGTGCATCTGTTACCCTGTGTAGTTTTTACATACCTTACACACATAGCTTGTTGGTTTTTACATGCATTTACGTACATTATGTAATCTTCACCTCACAGGCCTCCTCCCTAGGTGGGAGGAGCCACCTTCCCAGGGTCACGTGGTTGGCCAATGGCAGAGCTGGGATTTGAACCCAGGTCTGGTCAACTTGGAGCCCAAGCTCCTCACCACACAGAGGTAATGATGAGAACCATCACCTCGTGATTTTACCAAAAAGCCCGGGCTATAATTATAATGTATAATCATGTAAATATGTGTATTGGGGTGAAGAGGCACATATAAATTCTATTCTCAGGGTGCTGTTTATTTTTGTTAGCTACTTTTCTATCTTTTTGGATCTCAGGTGATTAGAATTCGATTAATCCAAATTCTTCATTAGGATCACCGTAATAATTGCACCATGATGGCCTTTTGTTCGTTTCCTTTATTATTATGCATAATAAATGAACAAACGCCCGGGAACTCCACACCCAACCAGAGAACAATTCTCCTCGCCCCCTGGGCTCCTCCACCCTGTGCCTGCCTGCCTTCCCAGGGGCCACTGCTGCTGCTAGCGTTTGTTTCTCACTTTCCACCTTATTTTTGAAAAATAGGTTTCTCGGCTTCCTATTCATGTATGAGCAGCATATTGCTATGTTTTCGTTGGCTTCGAGCTTCTTAAGGCCTCAAGCTGTGTGGGACTCGCTTTCTTCCCCCAGCCTTGTGGCTGTGTAATGTGCCCTTCTGTGACTATACCAGTGTAGTCATCTGTTCTCCTGCTGAGGGGCATCTGGGCTGTTTCTGGTGCTTGGCTGCGACGCACAGTGCTGCTGTGAACATTCTTGAGGGTGACTTCTGCAGCCCATGTTCATCCGTTTCTCTTGGGTGTGCACCCAGGAGTGGAACCGCTGGGCGGGCTGGAGGTATTGGTGCTTTAAATTACAAATGTGGTAAATACCTACTTGTTGTAAAAAAACACAGGTAGGGCCAGCCTGGTGGCACAGTGGTTAAGTTCGTGCGTTCCACTTCTCGGCAGCCCGGGGTTCACCGGTTCGGATCCCAGGTGCGGACATGGCACCGCTTGGCAAAAGCCATGCTGTGGTAGGCGTCCCATGTATAAAGTAGAGGAAGATGGGCACGATGTTAGCTCAGGGCCGGGCTTCCTCAGCAAAAAAGAGGAGGACTGGCAGTAGTTAGCTCAGGGCTAATCTTCCTCAAAAAAAAAAAACGAAAAACACAAACAGCCCAAGCATGAGCATCCTCTTCCTTTCCCACTGTTCCTCCACTGGGGGAGGCACCGTGAATCACTGGGAGTGTGTGGGAGTGTCTCCTCCAGGCCCTTCTGCAAGCACATGGTATGTGTACATGTGAGGCTGTAGAGGGGGATTATGGTCGAGCCATGGGCGTTTTGGTCTTGTTTGGCAAGCAAGACCCTCATCTCAAGTCCCAGGGGCAGGGAGCCTGGTTTGGCTGACCTCTGACCCCATCCCCAGCAGGGCCCCTCATAGAGCTGGGCCTGGGGAGGGGCAGGCGGGACCAGAGCCTTGTGGGATCCTTCTCAGGCCTGTGGCTACCTCTAGGCCCGGCTCTTAGCATCTCTTCCTCCTGCAGGATGAGAATATGGTGAGCTTCATCAAGGGTGGCATCAAAGTTCGCAACAGCTACCAGACCTACAAGTGAGTGGGGCCAGCCGGGGGGCGCCTGGGGCCACAGCATCCACCACCCTGTGCCCCTCAGGCTGCTCTGTGGGAGGTAGAAAGCACTGGCTAGAGACAGGAAGCCTAGAATGCTGTGTGATCTCAGATTTCTGCACCCTTGGGACCTCAGTTTTCTGGAATATTATTCCCCTGGTTTTCTGGGTCTATCTGTTCATTTGTTTCCCCTGAGTGCTTACTCTGTGCCTGACCCTGAGCTAGGGGAAAATAAGACACAGAATCTGCACAAACAGCTTGGTCTGTGCTGGTGGGGGATGGGGGTGGGAAAGACACAAAAACAGTAATTTTGAGAATAGCCACCAAACTCCTACATATCCCTTAAGGCCCTGTCCAAATTCCACTTTCCCCATGAAGCCTTCCTCGACCCCTCCAGTACACAGGGATAGTGTCCACACACACACCCACTCCCCTACCTGGGAGCTCCCCAAGGGCCAGATCATTTCCGTGCCATCTTAGCAGTGGGCCAGGCATAGCCTGTGTTTATGGATGAAAGAATGAGGACTCAGTCCAGAGTACCTTACCCAACATGGTGCTACAATCCTTATCTACACTTCCAAAATCAAAAAAAGCTCTGAAACCTCATGTTTTTCCCCCAAGTTTGGCATTAAAACTAATTTTCCGTTAAAAGTTGACCTGAATTGACTTGAGACTATTTATCATCATCATTTTCCCCATTTCAAGTAACTACTTCCCTGCAGAGACATTGCGAGTTTGATTTCAAGGCATTGCTGGGGTATACCACACCGTGCAGTATATGGGCACCACATTACCTCGTGGGTCTGTGCTGGAATTGTGCCAGGCAACCAGACAAATGTTCTGGCCCCTCCAGTCTCTCCACCACCTGCCAGAGTAATGTTTCCAGAGCACAAACCTTGTCAGGTCACCCCCTGCCAATGGGGCTCCTCTTCGTCTTAGGATAAAGTCCCTGGTCATCGCCGAGTCATTTCTGGGAGCTCTCCCTGCCCACCTGGCCACACCTCCAACCCCCTCTGCCTCAGACATTTGGACCTTTCCTCAGTTCTTCAAACATACGAAGCTCATTCCTGCTTCAGGGCCTTTGGACATGCTGTTTTCTCTGCCAGGAACACTCTTTCTGCACCAGGCTAAGCCCTCCGCATCCCTCAGATTTCAGCTCAAATGTCAGCTCCTCAGAGAAGCCTTCCCTGGACCCAAGACTAGGTCAGGCCCCAGGGTTCCTGTCCTTTGAGGCCCTCCTCACCCTCACAGAACTCAAAGGGCTCCAGCCCCTAGAGTGGGAGAGTTGTGAGGACAGCAGCGTGGTGGCTTTGCACCCTGCTGTCCCCAGTGCCTGGCACAGAGAGGTCTCAGTCTGTGTTTGCTGATTGAAAGCCCTCTGGATGCTCATGGGCCCGGACGGAGCCTCTCTCCTGCCCTGGGAGGGCTGGAATATGGGCTCTGCGCAGTTGGTGACCAGGAGAAATAGGGTTGGGTTCCAACCAAGAGACCCCAGGAAGGCGGAGGGGGTGTTGGAGTTAGCCCAGTGGTTCTCAGCGAGGGGCATTTTGCCCCCGTGAGGCATTTGGCAATGTCTGGAGACGTTGGTTGCCACACCTGGGGGGAGGTTGCTCCTGGCATCTAGTGGGTGGAGGCCAGGGATGCTGCTAAACATCCTGTGATGCGCAGGACAACACTCGCACCCGAACAGTCATCCAGCCTAAAATGTCAGCAGTGCCCAGGTTGAGAAACTGTTCTAGACAGAATGCAGAGCATGAGCAAGTCCTAGACGCTGGACAAGGCAGGTGCACTGGGGCCGATATGGCTGAAATTCAGGGGCAAGGAACGTGTTATTATGGTGGGAGATGAGGTTATGTTTTCCTCGAGTATCAGCTCTCTGGCTCACCAGAACCGCTATAATTCTACCACCAGTGGGTTCTGAGATCAGCTGGGAGTCAGGGGTAACCTTAGGCCCCAGCTGGAAAGGGATCCAGCCCTCACTGTGTACCTGAGGCAGGACTTTGCCTCCCTCTGTAGGGAGCTGGACAACCTCGTGCAGTCCTCCCAGTACTGCAAGGGAGAGAACCACAGGCACTTTGAAGGAGGGGTGAAGCTCGGTGTGGGAGCCTTCAACCTGGTGAGTGGGAGTGCCCCTCCCCCTGTCCGCAGTGTCTGGGCCCCTGCATGTCCCTGCCCTACCCACGGTCTCTGCTGGGATGCTGTACTGGGCCTTGTGCTGCCCTGGGACCCAGTGATGAAGCAGACGTGTCGCCAGCCTGGGGGGATCACAGCCGGGGTGGGGTTGGCGATGGGTGCTGGCGCTGCCTCCGGGATCCCTTTGATGCATTCTTTCCCAGCTCAGGTGGAAAGGTTGAAATCCACCATGGTGGCAGTATCTATAGCACCAGAAATTGACAAACGCAATAAACCAGGGCCCGTCCCCTGGAGAGCTGGTGGTTAAACATTGACCAGTGGCCAGGAAGGAGACAGGCCTGGAGACAGCGGATGACCACCAGGGAACAGAGCCACTGCCCTGGGGGAGTTGGGGAAGGTTTCATGGAGGGGAGAGTATTTGAGGCTGGATCTAGGAGGACCCATGGGTGGGGGAAGTTTGCCAGGGGGCCAGGGCATTCCAGGCGGAGGGAGCACTGTGGGCTGAGGCGGGGAGGCTCAGAAGAGCTGGGGCTGCTCCTGGATGATTAGACTCCTGGCCCTGGTGGCCAGGGACCTCTCCGGAAGTGTGTGTAGCAGGGAGTGCCTCTCTCCCCTCTAGACAAAGCCTGTTCGAAGAGCAGGCCCTGGGTTGGGGGTCCCTACCCCACTCTGGGTTGCGGTTTCCTCGTTTGTAAAATGGGAACAGTGATCCTGGCCCAGGTGCTGAGAGATACAAGCTGCAAGGTGCGTGGGATGCTTTAGCAGGTCATAGCCCCACAGTCCTGGGGTCAAGAACTATCTCCACCTCTGATAAGCTGGCGGCCTTGGATGTATCCTGTCACTTATCGGTGCCTCTCTTTCCCCAGCTTTCGAAAGGGGCGGTAATCCCTTCTTTGCAGGACTGTTCTGAGGGTCAGACGCAGTGCCGGAGCCCCTGGGATTCAGTGTACTTTAACAGCCGCTAACGGTTGCATGCAGGCCCGTATGTGCTTCACCTACGGTCATCTGATCCATCCGCGCAGCACCCCTGTGAGGAGGGCGCTATTGTTCTTCCCATTCTGCACACGAGGAAACTGAGGCATAGAGGGCATATGTAACTCGCCCAAGGTGACCCAGCTGCGAGTGGTGAGACGAGGATGTAGATGCAGTCTGTTCCTAACTGTCACACGGTGGTGCCTCTCTATCCGGGGAAGTTGGCTTTCCAGGAAACCCAGGGCCTCCTTGTGGACATTCCAGAGGCAGGGCCTGCACCCCTGGCTCCTCCCAGGACTCGGAAGGTTTGGGGAGTGGGAGGGCAGCCCCTGACCCTTCCCGTGCCCACCCGCCTCTGTTTCTGCAGACGCTGTCCATGCTTCCTACTAGGATCCTGCGGCTGCTGGAGTTCGTAGGGTTTTCAGGAAATAAGGTACCACCTGCCTTCTGGGGCCCCCGACTTGCTCAGCCCCAGGACTGGTACTTGGCTGACAGAGTGGGGCTGAGGGGCTGCGGGGCCTCAGTGCCAGTACTGCCCCAGCCCCCCTTGGTGTGTGGCCCTGGACAAGGCCCAAACCTCTCTGGATCTCCGGCTCCTCTGCAGTCAAAGGGGGCTGGTAATCCCCACCTGGCCTCTCACAGGGGGGTGAGGCTCTAGGGTAAGGATGGGTGTGAAGGACGACTCTGTGCGATGGCCTGGGATCATGTTTCTGAGCCTGACAGGTATCAGGAAGACCTTGAGCAAGTCCCTTCCCCTGGGACCATGTTCTGGGCTGAGAGATGCCCAAGGGAAGCCCTACTGTGCATCAGACCTCGAGGGTAGAAACCAGAGGACTCAAGCCCCCAGAGGCTTTACTGAGGGCAGGAACCTGAGCAGCAGGTAGCAGATCCGGGAGGGCTCCCTGGAGGAGGAGGCCCAGTGTGGTGGAAGGAGCATTGGCCTGGAAGTCAGGTGCCCTAGGTCAGTGCAGCCTCGTCCCCTTTTCCCTGTGACTCTGAGCACATCCCGCCCTCCTCTGGGCCTCTCTTCAGTAAAACAAGGGGCATTTTTTTTTTTAGATCAGATCAGTTTTTCAAACTTGGACTTTCTCTGGCCCTTCCTGATTTTTGCCATGTCCACCGACCTCTTTGTTGTTATTAATGTATTATTTTTCTCAAAAGCGGCTCATATTTTTTACTTAGAGATACTTAAAGGAAACGTTGCTATGCGGAAACCCTGTTATTTGGCGTGGTAAGCACCCACCCTCACAATGACCCTGTGAGGCCACAGGGGTCTGAGGAGGGCCTGGCCGGACCGTGCGGTCTGCTGAGGCCGAGGAGGGGAGCTCAGAGCGTACCCGCCCAGGGCCGAGGCTCGCTCCTGGACACCGTCACAAGGACGGATGGAGAGCTGAGAAGGGGAGACCCTCGCTTGGCACTCTGCCTCGCGCCTGTCCGTGGCCCTGTGAAATCCTGGCTGCTGTCTGCAGCCCATGGCCCAGCGCCGTTCCCAGGAGATGCCGGCCCGAGGCTCCGGGGACCCCGTTCGCTTTTGCTTTCCCAGGAAGGCCCCTGGTCGTGAGTAGGATTTCAGGATGATGACAGGAGAGAAGAGCACGAGAAAGGCCCAGAGGTGGGACAGTGTGGCCTGTGGCAGGAAGAGGGCGGCGAGGCCGGAGTGGGGGACCTCCAGCAGCAGCCGCAGCTTTGATTCTGTCCTGCAGGCAGGGAGCTGTGGAGGGCTTGAGGCCGGGGTGAGGCAGGTCAGATCTGTCTATGAGGAAGCGCACGAACGCCCTGGAGGACAGAGAGAGGGGCAGAGACTGCAGGCCCTGATACAAGTGGGGTCTGGCCTCTTGCTCCTCCCCTGCCAGGCTCTGGAGCATCCTCCTCCAGGAAGCCTTCCCAGACTGCAGTCCTCGTGGCCCCATCTGTACCCTGAGCCTGTGGTTAGGATTCTCTGCCAGCTTTTCTTTCCTCTTCCCCCATCAGATGTGGGGCTGCTCAGGGCCTCAGCGCCCACCCTGTGGGGGGAGTGGGAGGGGCAGGGTAGTGGGGGAGGGGGGCGGGTGCTACCTGGAGTCCAGCGCTCTCCTGCCTCTGCTCCAGCAGCATTGTCCTCACAGCTGCCCAGTGACCTCCCAGGCCCTGCCGCTTGCTGGGTCCCAGGGTGGGCCCCGGGGCACTCAGGCCCCGCTGGCCTCAGCCGGTCCCCTCTTTCCGCAGGACTACGGGCTGCTGCAGCTGGAGGAGGGCGCCGCGGGCCACAGCTTCCGCGCCGTGCTCTGCGTCATGCTGCTGCTCTGCTACCACACCTTCCTCACCTTCGTGCTGGGTAGGGGCGCCCGGGCCGAGTGCTGGGGCCTCTGGGGTTGGGCTGGCCCTGAGGGCAAGGGTGAGATGGCGAGGGGCTGCAGACCCTCCTCGGCCCCGGACTGGGGATGGGGCACTGAGACGAGACACAACAGATGCGCATCAGCTGTCCTGGGGCCTGGCTTTCTGACCGCTCGCTTCCTCACGGTGTGACCGGGTTCCAACCTCAGTTTTCTCGTCTGTGAAATGGGGATGGGCTTGCCCACCTTTTGGAGGGTGTGAGGACGCTGTAGGCAGGCTGGCCTTTGGGGTCCCTGGCCCAGCCTTGGTGGGCATGGGCTCTTGGTTAGTGAGCCCTGTGGTATGCTGGGGATGAAACTGGTGCCTCATATGCCCCTGGAGATGGGAGGATTATTTCACAGAGGGGGAAGGGGAGCCCCTGAGAAGCCCCTGGTAGGTTGCTGGGAGGATCACGGGCCGGTGTGGTGACGTGTGTTGTCCCCCTGCCGCCTTCAGGCACCGGGAATGTTAACATCGAGGAGGCAGAGAAGCTCCTGAAGCCCTACCTGAAGCGATACCCTAAGGTGAGCCCCCTTCCTACCAGACCCCCGTGGCCCAGCGCCCTCTGGATCCCCGTGGCCCAGTGCCCTGTGGACCCTCATGGCCCACCTGCCCTGTGGACCCCCGTGGCCCAGTGCCCGGTGGACCCCTGCGGACCACATGCCTGTCATTGCAGGGCGCCATCTTCCTGTTCTTTGCAGGGCGGATTGAAGCCATTAAAGGCAATGTTGACGCAGTGAGTAACGGGGGTCTGGGCTGGTGCTGGAGACCCTTGGGGTCCCCAGGTCAGCAGGAAGACACTCGCAGACATACTCAGGGACAAGGCAGACTCGGGGGAGGGCCCCGAGTGAGAACCAGCAAGAGAGCAGGGGCGGGAGAGGCACCTCCTGCTGAGAGTGTGGGAAGACAGGAGGAGGAAGCATTTGTGGTGAGCAGGCCACCTTCCTGGAGAGGGAGGTCCTCAAGGGAGGCAGTGAGGTAGGAAGACCCACTTGTTGGGGGTGTGCTGAAAGGCCGGAACCTGGCGAACGGAGTGGTGGTGCCCTGGGGAGGCTGGCCCCCTGAGGGCCTGGCTAGGGAGTCTGGACTCCCGAGGTGGGAGCAGCCACCGAAGGGCTGCGGGAGGGGAGGGTCAGGGTCCTGGCAGCATCCCCAGCAGGTGGCCGGGGCCCAGGACAGACTTGACCGCGTGGAGTTCAGGGGTCTCCAGCTGGCCCTGGCTGTGCTTCCTCGGGCAGCAGGACAGATGCTCCAGGTCCTGGTCCCTTCGTGGGGGCTACTGGAACTTTTGGGGTTTGCTCTGAGGCATAGACATTATCATATCACTTTAATATGAACAGTTTCTACTGCCTATTGTCCCTCCATTATAGCTCAATCCTGTCCTTTCATTTTGTGCTGAAAGACTAGGGTCCCAGAGAGGGGCAGTAACCGGGCCTAAGGTCATGTAAGACCTGGGGCAGAACAAGGATCGGAGGCCAGATCCTCGTTTCCCCACTGTTGCACCCCTGCCCCCTGAGCCTGGCACAGGGCTTGGACCACTGTGCGCTGGAGGAGGCTGGACCTGCTGTGGGGTTGGGCAGGGGCCGGGGTGGGGGGCACCCACCGAGGCTGATCAGCAGGTGCCCACAGGCCATCCAGCGGTTCGAGGAGTGCTGTGAGGCCCAGCAGCACTGGAAGCAGTTCCACCACATGTGCTACTGGGAGCTGATGTGGTGCTTCACCTACAAGGGCCAGTGGAAGATGGCCTACCTGTACGCCGACCTGCTCAGCAAGGAGAACTCCTGGTCCAAGGTGGGCTGACCCCGTGTGTTTGAGGGACCTGGCCAACCCAGACTGGCCACAAGCCCCTAGACCCTGGCCAGTCTAACTGGCCCTAACGGGACACAGATGTCTCAGCAGGAATTTAAAAAGAACCACAAATTCTAATAGGACTCAGGGCCGGAAGGAACCAAAGAGAAACTTTATGACTACAATGTGTTAGTCGAGATTTTAAGTCACAAAGGTCAGCAACGTGGCTCACACTGTCTAGGTGAGTGCTGTCCACAGAACTTCCTGTTATGGTGGAAATGTTTTATTTCTGCACCGTCCAGTGTGGTAGCCACCAGCCAGATGTGTACACTGAGCACTTGAAATGTGCCTAGTGCAACTGGGAAACTGGATGTTTTAAATTTTATTTAATTTTAATTAACATTTAAATTTTAAGTCACGTAGGGCTAATGGCTACCATGTTGGACTATGCAGATCTAAAACACAAGAGGCTCATTGGTTCATATAACTGAAAATTCTAGGCACATCTGGCTTCAGGTAGGGCTGGATCTAGGAATTCAAATTAAATCATCTGAGCTTGGTTTTCTATCTGTGGCTGTGCTCTCCTCTACGGCATCTTTGTTGTGTAGGGAGGTTCTCTCCATGGAAAAGGCGGGGTGGCCATGGGCTGCCTGCCCCTAACTCACATCTTCTTTTGGTTTCAACCAAAGCCCCATAGTGGAGTCTCATTGGTGTGGCATAGATTGCATGTCAGTGCCTGGAAACAGAGGGTGGGAAGATTCCTCAAGGATTAGGAGTAGGAGAGGGGTGGATCCCCAGAAGAAAAATGAGGTGATGTCCCCAGAAGAAGTGTTGGCAGGGGGGGGGGGGGGGGGGGGCATTAAAGAGATGCCATGTAGGCAAAACCAAGCAAAACAGGTGCCTATCGTAGCTGAAAACTTAGAACATCATGGGAAGTCGTGAAATAAGAATTAGTCATATCATCGTAGTAATGATAGTACAGAATTCTGAACCATGAGCCTTAGAATCATCCAGATCATCAGAAAGCATCTAATCTGGTATTGGCAAATACATAGCACATATGTCTCAATGCCATTTTCCCTTGCCCACAGCAGATGTGCTGATCAGGCCTGGTACTCTTTCCCGTAGCCCGCCTGTGACCTTAGAAGCCTTCTCCATACTACACTCCAGGCAGCCCGTAGAAATGATCTGAGTGGGCACATGTCATCCCTATCTAGTCCATATTTCTCGTGCCATGCCCCCCAACCCCCCCCCCCCCCCCGCCCCCGCATGGAAGTCCTTTTCCAGTATCCTTGCTAGAGACCAAACTGAAAGGAAATTCTCTGGGTCTGGGGCCCGCAGGGCTCGGGGAGGAGCAGCTTTTGCTGAGCTGTGTGCCCAGCACTTGCCGTTTCCTCCACGCTATACCCAGTGAGGTGGAAATTATTATCTCCATCAGGCGTGTGAGGGACGCTGAGGCTAAAAGAGGGTATGTGACTTCCTGGCCCACACAGCTGTCGGTGACAGACACAGATCTGTGTGACTCGATGGCCTCTGCTTTTCCCTTGCTTCTCAGGTCCTCCTGAGGAGGGCTGGCTTGCCTTGAGACCACCCTGCTGTTGAAGGCTCTGCCTCGGGCCCAGCCGCTCTGGGCCCGGCGTCCATTTGTCATCACCTTCCACTCCCAACAAGAACGCAGCCTCAGGGAGAGCCATTCTGAATGAAAGTGACCTAGAAGCCTTCCTGTGGAGTGAGGCAGGCAGCAGGTCCACCTGCACAGGAAGAAGCCTGGGCTGGCTGCACAGCTGCTGGGAGAAGTAGAGGGGTGCCAGGCCTCCCAGGTGTCAGGAAGCCTGGCTGTGGGTCAGCTCAGTCTCCAGCTTGCTGTGTGACCTTGGGGAGGTCAGCCTCTCTTGCTGCAACGCTTTCCTCAGAAGGGTTTCCTGTGAAAGGCAGGCTGAGCCCCCGAGATCTGGGGCCTCGTTCATTCCTAATCTCTAGCACTTGGCCTCCATAGGGTCCGCCAACTTCCAGCTCTAGGGACTTGGCCTGTGGCCATTGCCATATGCTCCGGCCCTCTGCACAGCATCCCTCTCTGCCTGGACTATCCCCACTTGTCACTGTGGAGCCTTCATTTTCCGCCAGTACTTGCAGCTTGAGATGGCCAGAAACAAGGTGGTGACAGCTGTGCTCAGTGCTGTAGAGGGGGAACTGAAGGGAAGCTCGGAGGCAGCCCAGCCAAGAGGACAAGGAAGGCTTCTGGAAGAGGAGACTTCTGAACTGAGTCTTGAAGGAGGAGTTGGGAGGCAGTGAAAGGACACCCTAGTCTGAGAGAACAGCAGGGCAAGGCTGGGGTGCTGCCAAGAGGTTGCGTCTCCAGGGAGCACGATTTGTGGGTGGGGGTGCAGGGGGCCTGCAGAGGGACCCTTCCTCCTCTAAGCCACTCACTGTTAGCTTCTGGAGGACAAGGACTGTTTGACTGCGCAGACCCTGGTAGAATAAGCCAGCAAAATAAATGTGTGGAATCAAGGGGCAAACAGGCAGATAACCCTGGGAGACAAGACTTCCACCAGGGGAATTGGCTGCTGTTTTCCATCAGTGTGGCCCCATAACATCCCTCGATAACTTGGACTCCATGGCTCTCACAACTCTAGGTCACTGCACCCACCCTAACTCCTAGTGACTCAGTGGGGGGAGCTGTCAGAGGGGAGCAGGAGAAGGCTCTTAGTAGAAGCCAGTGGATGAGCCTGGCAGAGAAGGGACGGTGGCATCCCAGGCAGAGGGACAGCACAGGCAACGGCCTGGGGTGAGTTGAAGGAGTGATGGAGAAGAAATGGCAGCAGAGGAGCGAGAAAGCAGGTCATGAGGGCCCTGAGTGGCTGTTTGCGCTTCAGTCTGACGGTGGGGGAGCCCTTGATGCTTGTGGCTTAGATCTGTGCTTTAGAAATAATCCCTCCCACGGTTACTGGACAACCCCATGTGCCAGGTCCTGTTCTAGGCCAGGACATACAACAGCGGACAAAGCAAAGACCCCATCTCGAGGCTCATGTTCTAGTGGGAAGAGAGACAAGAAACACCCAAAGAAATAGATGTCAGTAAATACAGTGTCAGGTTCCCGTGAGGGTGCAGGGGGGTCAAGGGAGGCCTGAGAAACACCAGAATGAAGTGAGGAGCAACCATGTGGGTATCTCAGTGAAGAGCAGAGGGCGCTGTAGATGCGAGGGCGGGGAGGGGGAGCTGAAGGTGAGAGCGTTTGAGGTATACTAGAAACAGGAGTGTGGCTAGAGTGATGTGAGTGAGGGGGAGACTGTAGGAGTGTCGCTGGAGAGGAAACTGGGAGAGATGGGACAGGGTCTCATGACCTCACGGCACGGAGTTTGGCTTTTATCCCAAGTGTGGTGTGCTGTCATGAGAAGATTTTGGGGAGGGACTGACGGCGTGTGACTTAAAGAGATCAGAGTGATGGTGGTGTGGGAAATGGCTTACAGGGGGCAGGAGGGGGAGCGGGGGGGATCTGCAGGAGACCTCATGGACTAGGACAGCAGGAAGACATCCCTGGTGGCCTGGGGCAGGGAGACGGTGTGGAGGCTGGTGCGGTCATGGAGGAGAGAGAGAGGGCATGGCCAGTGGGATTCAGGAGCTGGATAGGAGGTAAAATCATGAGGCCTTGGTGACTCAGCGCCAGGGCGGAAGAGGGAGAAGGCAAGGATGACACCAGGAGGTTGAAGATGGGATGGAGAACAGGTTTCAGCAAGGGGAGATTCTGCCCACCACACCCTGCAAAGACCGGCTTTTCCTCATTTTGTGAAGGGCAGGCTGAGGTGCTGAGGGCAGAGTAGAACTGAGAGTGGCCCTGGGCGCCAGCAGGGGTGGGGCTGCCAGGTGGAGCTGCGTTCCGCCTTCTGCAGAGACCAGACTCCAGGATGTCCTGCTCCTGCTCCTCCTCCACCCGGTACACTTCTTTCTTGGCTACAGGCAGGCAGTAGTTCCTTGGCAGCACCTCTAGGAGGCAGAGCTGTAGTTCAAGGCTCGGCCACTGGAGGGCAGCACAGAGCCAAGCTCCTCGCTGGAACTCATGGGGCAGGGGCGCGGCTTTCAGGATGGAACTGCAGGGGGTGGGGGGCGGGTGCGGAGCGAGGCCGGGTGGTCTCTGCACGGCCACGCCTTACCTGTCAGGGGTGGCTGTGGATCCAGTGGGCGAGGACCTGGCTTGAAGCCGCACAAACCTGGGGTCATGCCCAGCTCTGCCCCTGGCGGCTCTGCGGTCCCAGGAAGCAGAGGTGGGGTATGGATTCCTTTCTGGCATTGTCTCTGGGGTCAAGTGAGGTGATGTATGTAAAGTGCCTGACACTTAGTAAGGCAGTTCCACCGAGAGACCCTGAGCTGAGCCCTGACCCAGGGCCCTGTGTGCTGTCCTGGCCTCACACCTCTCCTTTTACGCATCTCATGCTTTATACTACTCATTTTATCTTACTTACTCACATCTCTGCTCCTCGCTGGCTTTGTTCAGGCTGTTCCCCGTGCTGGAAGGTCCTTTCTTGGGTCTCTGTGAATCTTCTCATTGGCCTTCACGGGCCCTGTCTGGAGTAGTTGTTTCCCAGAAGCCCTTGCTGCCCTGTCCTTGTGTCGCCGTCCTGCACATCCACTATGGTTTGGGTCTTTCTGCTGCTTCACAGTGAAGAGGGTAGCTGCCCTGGACCCACCCTGGGTTTAATTTCCAGTTCAAGTCCCCAGGCTGCCTCACCCTCGATGTCTCCCCCGGGGCTTGGGGATAATGTTAGCTGCTCTGCTGGGCCATACTGAGGTCCGAATGCGGCATCTGTGGCAGGCCGGGGCTGCGGCGGAGGGCGGGCCGTCACCGCTGACTTGCTCTGCCTTGCACAGGCCACCTACATCTACATGAAGGCCGCCTACCTCAGCATGTTTGGGAAGGAAGACTGCAAGCCGTTTGGGGATGACGAAGTGGAGTTGTTTAGGTGGGTCCTACTGTTTCAGCCCCGTCCTAGGCCTCAGCCAGGCTCTGCCCACAGCCATCCTGAGCTGTGGGCACCTGGAGGGAGGCGGTGGGCTTGTCGTCTCCCCTGGCCCTGAGCTCCCTGACCCTCCCCCAGGAGCACCCCACGGGGCCGGCGTTCCTTCCCTCACCTCCTCCGCTCCTTGTTGGAGCCCTCTGAATCTGCTCAGGGGTTTGCTTCTGCAACAGTGGTTAACATCCTTCCCATTGAGCCTCTGTCGTCTGGTCAATAGGACAAGTGTGGACACTGAGGTCCGGAGAGGGGTCCCTCCCTTCTGCTGAGTTAACCTGATTCACTCAGAGAAGCACAGTAGAGAGCCCGAGTTGGAATCCAATAATCAGTATTAAATCCAGCCTCTTCTGTTGCTTCGCTGGGTCACCTTGGACAATTTCAGCGTCTGTAAAATGGGACTAACCGCCTCTACCTTGCAGGGTTGTTTTGAGAATCAAATAGAGAACATATTTAAAGAGCCTGGCATAGGGCCTGGAGCCACTAAATGGTGGCTGTTTTTATTCCCATCTGCGCTGCTGTGTCTGCATTCTGTGAAGGGGAAGGGCAGGCTCAGCCTGGGCGGGTTGAGGACGGAGCCCAGGGCCTTCCTCCGGTTGTGGTGAGGGCTCGCCCCAACTTGCAGACCCGGAACTGGAGGTGACTCGAGCTTCCTGGGCTACTCTGTCACAGTCATAGGGTGTTTATCATTGACTGACTGCCTCCATTTCTCCATCTCTTATAACGCTTGCAGAAAACCTGTGAAGGTTTTAGAGATGAGAGAACTGAGGCTCAGAGTGGTTCCACAGTAAATAAGCAGGGGATGTCTGGTGGGAGACCTCACAACTGGTCCAGCTGTTTCCTGGGCCTGGACGGCTCAGGCCTGAGGGTCACAGCTGGAGCTGGGGACTGTGGCAGGAATTGGAGGGTGGGACAGAGCTGGGTGGTGAGGCCCCAGATGTGAGGCTCGCCTGCTGCATGCTGCACTTTACTCTGCCTTTGGAAACAGCTGAGGAGGCCACAGCCACGTGGCAAGAGTTAATGGAGGCTTTGAACTGTGTGGTTTTGGGCAGGTCCTGCCCTTTCCCCGGGTGTTGGTCTCCCCTGTGAAATTGGGGTCAGACTTCTGCTGGGCCCTCCGGAAATGAGGCTCTCGAGTGGAGGAGAGACAATTAGGAAGACTGGGGATGTTTGGATACATTCTCACCTCTGCCAGCTGGTGTGAAGGAGCCCCTTGCCAAGCCACAGGAAGTGGTCAGGTCTTGGGACAAGGCCTGTGACATATGGCCATAGCCACAGGCTATGAGTCCAGCACTCATGCAGATGGGGAAACTGAGGCTCAGAGAGGGGCCAAGCAGAGGCTGGGGACTCCCAGTCTTCTCTAGCTTTTTCTCACCCTCTCCCCATCCTCCTCATCTCTTTTGCAGAGCCGTGCCAGGCTTGAAGCTCAAGATTGCCGGGAAATCTCTACCCACAGAGAAGTTCGCCATCCGGAAATCCAGACGCTACCTCTCCCCCAACCCGATCTCCTTGCCAATCCCTCCTCTGGTGGGTAGGGAAGTCTGGACTGGCCTGCGCTCCAGTCTGGGATTGTGGGGATTAGCTGAGAGGCAGGGATGCTGCCGGGGCCCCAGGGGAAGTGGATGAGGGAGAAAGACCTCCGCGCCTCAGGGGCCTGGAGAGGATTTCACAGTTCACTGGGATGGGGGGAGGAAGGCAGATGAGTGGGTGTGCGCCAGCCCCTGCCTCTGAGAAAGTGCTGGTCTTCCGGGGTTGGAGGTAGGGAGACAGGCCAGCAGGCTTCAGAGGCAAAAAGAGCAGCCCTCCCCACTGTCCCCAGGAGTGTCACTAGCTGTTTGTGTTCCTACTGTCTGTTTCAGTCTTGTCACATGATTATAATTGTTGTTTACACTGTCCCCCTCACTGGACCCAGCTTTTCTGAGGCCTGGGACTATGCTGTATTCGACTCTGAAATGACAACGACGATAAGAATAGCTGTCGTGTTACTGGGCACTTGCTGTGTTCAAGGCTCCTGACACCCATTTCTGTTGCCTCTTCTGATCCTCACAGCCTCTGTCTGAGTAGGTGCTGGTGGTGTGTCCATTTTACAGATGGGGACAGTAAGGCCTAATAGATAAGAAGGAAAATTAAATGACTCGTTCAGGTCGCACCGCTGGTGTGTTAGAGAGTCATAATTTGAGTCCAGACAGTCTCGTCCCAGAACCCATATTCTGAACCACTGTTATGAGGCAGATTCTCTGGAAGATTTGAGCAGGCATCAGAGAAGGTTCCAGTTTGCTTAGAGTCCTTGTTGTTATTCAAAGAGTAAGGCAGCCAGGAAAGTAGCTAGGGGCCTATTTCAGAGCCCTTTCTCTGGTCCTGGCTCTACTGTCCACTGATTGTGTGACCTTAGATAGGGTCCCCCTTCCCGTAGTGCAAATGGGAATAATAGATACCTGGGCCATTTCATAGAGCAGTTATGAGAATCAGCTGATAAAGTGTGTTAAACACTTTATAAATCAAAAGCTTCAATATTTATATGGAATTTATTTATATCTTGTATCGTAAATATCTCTAAACAAATTTTGAAATATTTTATAGTTTAAAATATACAGTAAAGCTGTTACTATCAAATGAGGGGAGGGATGTTGCAAGAAAGAGCTGGGGAAGCAATACACCAAAACTTTAGGGGAGAATTCCCCAAACTATAGTCTGCAAAATGCTACTTATGCATAAAATGATTTCTTTGATTAAATATATTTGGGAAAGACCGGCCTAAACAAAGTCTGTATACTGTAGACTTTCTTGGAGCTGCTACATTTTAATCTGCGTGGTGAGTCCCCGAGAAGCTTGAAGATGTGGTTTCTCCTTCACTTATTTGGCCATGGAACCCTTTTTTTTAAATGGGACCTTTGCTAACTTGGGACCATATCATAATTTGAGAGATAATGGCCTAAACTTAAATTCCCTTCTTAAAACATAATAACAAGAATCGTAACAATAATGTCTTGCTAGAACTTTATGTATAAAAATCACTTTCACATCCATTACCTGGCTTGATAGTTTAGGAAATGCTAATCTAAACTAACATAATCATTATGAATGAAAATTAAATTTAGTATTCTGAGCTTCCTGGCAGTCAAGGCAAAAAAAGGAATCAGGATATGTTTCATAGTTTTCACGGTAACTCAAGCCCAGTGCCTTGGGAGAATAGGAGAGGGGGTGACATGCTCTTAAAGTCTATTGTAAACCCGGAAGTGCTTAAGTAAATTCTGGTTCCTCCAGTCCAGTATAGGAGGAGGCCCTGCCAGCTGGAGCAGGGAAGACTTCCTGGAGAGTGTGAGGCATGGCCTGGTCCTCAAAGGATGGGAAGAGTTTAGACACAAAGGTTGAGAGAGAGCATAATAGCGCCCAGGAAACCACGAGCAGAAAAGTAGCTCAAAGCTCTTTGCAACTAGAGCATAATAGTGAAGTTATGGGTCCATCGTAGCTCCTCCCTGGGGTAAGGTGAGATCTCAGGAATAAATAAGTGGTGAGCCCCCCCGACCCCTGTAATCCTCTCGAGCCCACAGCTTCAGACGCTTGGCTGAAACTTGTCATGCAGGTTAGAGCTAGAAGGGCCTTTAGTGATCCTCTGATCTCAGCTGCCCCTTTTACAGTTGGGGAAACCGAGGCCCCACTGGGGAGGAAATCCTGCTCTGACTTGCTCCCCTGCCCTCAGGAAATGATGTACATTTGGAATGGCTACGCTGTGATTGGGAAGCAGCCGGAACTGACAGACGGGATACTTGAGATTATCACCAAGGCCGAAGAGATGCTGGAAAAGGGCCCAGGTGACTCCCCCAGGCCCTTGAACCTGCCAGGCTGGGTCAGACCACAGGTCTTCACTGTTGAAGACTCCACCAAAAATGTCCTTCCTCATTTCTCTACTCTGGTAACTGTCCTTTGCCTTTCTAGACTGAGCTTCAATGGCAGCTCCTCCAGGCAGCTGTCTTTTGTCCCCCAGGTAGGGTCAAGGTCTCCTCTGGGCTCCCACAGCCCCTGGGCTTCCTTCAATCAGTCCTGATTGCACTGTGTTGTCATCGTCTCAGTATCCGTCTTTCCTTCCCAGATGTGAGCTCCCTGAAGACAGGGCCCATGTGTGAGTCACCTCTGTGTCCCCAGGGCCCAGCACAGAGTAGGGCTCTGTGAGCACCTGCTGCAGAAATGAATAAGCCTGTCTCCCCTCTCACTGCCCGTTCTCAGAGAACGAGTACTCCGTGGATGACGAGTGCTTGGTGAAGCTGCTGAAAGGCCTGTGTCTGAAGTACCTGGGCCGTGTCCAGGAGGCCGAGGAGAATTTCAGGAGCATTCCTGCCAAGTAAGTGCCTCTGGGGCTGCTCGGCTGGGTCTCCTGGGTGGAATTTTCAGAGCTTCTCCATCCTCACGCACACTCCAGTGCCCGACCCTAGCCTACCCGCATTCACCACACATGTACTAGTGTCTACCCGGTGCCAGGACGCTTGCTGGGCACAGATCACTCAGACCTCGTCCCTCAGGGCCACCAGACTGCCTAGCTCCAGGAGCCCATCCACACTGAGTTCCTGTGAATGGTGCCCCTGGAGTCTGTAATTCAGTAAGTCTGCCCTTGCCCTTGGGGAGCGCAGATGTTCCAGATGGACAGCCACAGGCAACCCAGTCTGGTGTGGTTGGGGCTGTGCTAGAGGAGAGCAGAGGACGGCAGGTGCCCTGAGGAGGGCCCTCAACCTCGTGTGAGGTACCAGGAAAGGCTTTCCAGGGGTGCTATTTAAACCGGGAAGTTTTATCAAGCAGAGAAAGCAAGGGAGAGGGAGTTTTACGTGGAGTACGTACAGCATGTGCAAATGCCTAGACACAGGAAAGACACCTGAGATTGGAGTGACAGTGATTAGGTCCTTCCTTGCCTGGGTGAAGTTATAGAGGGAAAGGGTGGCAGATGAAATAGGGGGAGGCTAGACTGAGAAGGGCCTGGATGTTTTACTTACAAGGCTGAACTTTATCCTGTAGACAGAAGAGAGCCAGGAAGGATTCCAGGCATGGCAGATTTGAGTTTTAAAAGGATGTCTGCAGGGCAGCGTGGAGGGTGGGTCAGGGGGGCCACATTGGAGACAGGAGAGTTCCCAATTTAATGAACCATTCAACCTGGTACAAGAGGGTTGGGGACTGAGGCGGTGGTGGGCTTAGGACATGACATGAGCCGTAGGTTCGCAGGGAGTTGGGGCCCCGGCTGCAGAGGACTGGAAGGCTGCTGTGAGTCCTAAGCCTTTCTAGGGCTACGTAGTAAGAACCTCCCCAAATTGGAATTCAGGTCAGAAAACCCCCATGAGGGCATGGGTTGGACCCTCCCATTCTTGAAGGCTCGAGAGGAGCCTGAAGGACGTCTCAAGGGCAGAGCATGTAAGCCATGTCCTCCTCTCTCCTGCAGTGAAAAGAAGATTAAATATGACCACTACTTGATCCCAAATGCCCTGCTGGAGCTGGCCCTGCTGTTTATGGAGCAAGGCAGAAACGAGGAGGCTGTCAAACTCTTGGAAACTGCGAAGTAAGGCTTGGGTGGTCTTGGTCTGTCCTTCGCTCCCCCTGAGCTCAGTCACCTGGCTGGCTGGGGAGCCATGAGGGAGGACGCTGGCAAGGGCAGCATGGCAGTCCCGAGGCCAGGGTCGTGTCCCAGGGAACCCAGCTCTCACCTGGCGTAGGGAGCCTTCTTCCTCAGTTTACCAGTGGGGAATTGAATCCTGAAAGCAGGGAGTAGATACTCAGGGTCACAGCACAAGCCAGCTGCCGGGCTGGCGTGAAGACCCAGGTCTCCTGCCTTCCAGCCCAGGCATCTGCCTCTTGAAACCACTCCGTCAAGCTGGGGGACTCACCAGGACCAAGAGTGCTTCCAGGGGATGATACCTGGGTGAGGGGCTACATACTCCTTTTGCTAGTCCCAGTTGGGCAGGGCCCAGCTCTTTCTTTGGACAGGGACAGGGATCTCAGCCTCTATAAACACTCCTTGGCTGGACCCCCACAGCTCAGACTGAAGGCAAAGCACTTCCTGGAGCAGCTGCATGTGTCTGACTCTGGTCTCTGGTCTCTTCCAGGCAAAACTACAAGAATTACTCCATGGAGTCAAGGACACATTTTCGAATCCAGGCAGCCACACTCCAAGCCAAGTCTTCCCTGGAGAATGGCAGCAGGTCCATGGTCTCATCAGTGTCCTTGTAGTTTTATGCAGCACTCCTGGGCTGGAAGATGGAGACAGTTGGACAGAGCTCCTGGAAACATTTCAGAAAGATCCCCTCCCCCTGCCCTGCCCTGCCTTTGGGGTCCCCCGATGCTCCAGTGGGATGGCACGACATAGGTACCCACGGAGAAGCGAAGCCGGCATGTTCACCAGTGTGACCAAGGGCCTTTGCCAAGGACAGAGCAGGCGGACCCTCCTCCCGCCCTATCACACATACGGGTACTTGTTTTTCACTGTGATGTTTAAGAGAATGTATGAACAGTTTACATTTTCCTTAGAAATACATTGATGGGATCATAGTTTGCTTTTAAAAAAACTCAACAGCCAACCACCTGTAAATCTTTGTTTTACCCATACTGATCTGGAGGTAAATCTACATGATGCCAAAGACCAAGCTGCTGTTCGAACTTCAGCAAGGTCTCAGCCTCCAGGGCTGAAAGGACCCTCCTAGGAGTCAGGAGGGTCTGCACCTCAGGCTTTGAGGCTTCTGGGGTCTGGCAGAGAGCTTGCACACGGACACCCACTACCTTACTTCTTACACTTTATTTTCACTCCTTTTGTAACTTTCCAATTTAAAAAAATCAAACACGTCTTTCTAGTGAGGTAATTTTCATTTGAGTCCATCTGTAGAAAAATCAATCTCCACCAGTAAGGAATGGGGATGCCCAGGCCTGACAGAAGGGGCGCTTTCTGTGCCAAAGCCAAGAAGTTTGGGGTGGGGGAGCTTCTGAGAAACCAGACTGCATCCTCGCTGTACGCCAAACTGGGACCACTGGGGAGAATTTATGGAACATAAAAATCTTCTATACTTCACTCCGAGGTACATTTATTTACTGACAGCATTTTTTTAGAAGTAGAATGGTTATTCTTGGCTTGTTGTATATGTCTTAGATTTTTCAGTCAAGATAAAAGAGAGATTCAAGTAATAAAACTTACACACTTAAGAGATCATGCAACATCTATTTCAGTAAAATATGTGTTGCTTGAATTCTTGGGCAGGGCAGAAAGTCTGGATCAGAAGCCATATGGCCCATGTATGTTTTATTTAGACAACATGATGTTTTAAAATTTTTAGAATAAGTTATTAACATTTAAAAATGGGGAGATTTCACAAATAAATCTGGTTTCTGGCCTCTTATTTAAAAAAAAAAAAAGACATGGCAACCTTGGGCCTCCTTCCCACAAGGCCACGGTCTGTCGCAGCGCAGCAGAGGCTGCTTTCAACACACACCACCTTTCTGGCCCCTGAAAGCATCTGAATTTGCAACCTCTGGGACTGTTAAAGTGAGAACCCAAGTTCAGTAACAATACCAAGTTTCACCAATCACGATCTAACGACAGCGTACGTCAACTTAACCCTGTTGCTGGAGGAAAAGGCGTGCACGGTACAAAGATTCATCTGTGCAAATGTGACTCCTCAACTACATGAATGCAATTTCTGTGAGGGAAGAACCACACACAGCTTTCCCCACCTTCCAGCATTGCTGTATTTAGCAAACACTTCTGAGCATTTGCCAGGGGCTGGGCGGGTTAATCTATTAATATACAGTCAGCCGGCCTCCTGCGACCGACACTGAATGATGTCATGGCTTTTAGGTAAAGCATATTCTCAGTAGGAAAAAAACAAAAGAAAGCAGAAAACCCTCATCCAAGATTCTCTTTTGCACTAAGTACTGTCAGAGCAGAAATTTCTCATTTTGTTGGAACCAGACAAAAGAATGTTCTCCATAGAGAAGGAGCCCTTTGCAAGCTCTCTCTCCACCAAAGCCTGGATGCTGGGAGACCAGCCTGTTCCCAGGTTGTCAGGGAGGCAGGGTGAGCTGGGTGACTGGAGCCAGGCTGCTGAATGAGGGTGGCCTTTTGTGGTTCCCCTATATTAGAAGCTACCTACTGCTGTATCAAAGCAGCCCTGGTCACAGGATACCAAGTATATTATTTGCAAAATTGCAGTTTACAAAAAACTTTCAACATTCATTGTACTTGCTTTTGCTTTTAAGATTTTATGCCAGGATGGTTTCCTTGTCTGTGTTTGTTGTTGCTGATTTCCTGCTGGGCTTCATTAATTAGCCTATGTCACCCTTACCTCTGCTGCCCTGGCTGCAGTCTGGCTGATAAGAGAAATCCGTGGGTTTTGCCTCCTTTATCCCCACTGCAGCTTCAGATAGTCTATCAAAAACAGGGATGTGAAGGAGGGTGAAAATTCTGTCCTGGGCTTCTCAGGGTGTCTTCTCTGAGCAGCTTCTGGTTGTTGCTTCTCCAATAGTGCAGACCTTTCCAGCACATCTGCCCTGGAGAGGCAGCTATCAGGTGGAGAGCTGGCCTGGAAATAAGGAGACCTGAACTCCAGTCTCTGCTTTGCTACTGATTTTTGGAGTTACCTTGGGTCATGGACCCTCTAAAAATTAGTAATTTGGACTAAATTAAGGTTCTTTCCTGCTGTCAACAGTTCTAACTCTGGTCAGGTCTGTTTCTCGGTTTTCAACTCCAAAATGAAGGAACAGATTTATACCTCCCTACCTTTTGCCAAAGCCCTGTGTCCCCAAGCAAGTCAACCAGAAATGATAGGTTTCTTCAATCAGAGACCTCTACAGTAGCCCGGGAACCCAGAGAGCAAATAATCCTCATTTGGGAAAAGTCTGAATCCTGTGCCACACAGAGGAACTCAGTTGTTAGGAAGTAGCAACTGTGTAACATGATCTGAACAGGCCCTTGGCAACGGAAAGTCTCTGTCTGCCTCTCACTGGTCCCAGGCCCTGGGACTGGCAGGCTGGCTTCCCGCAGTGTTCTGGTCCCTATCAGCTCTCCCACATGTTGGCAGGATGCCCTATTCCTTATCTCTCAAGCCAGAATGGGAGTTTTTCCAAGACAGCTATCGTCATTCACAGCAGAAAGCTATGACCTGGCCACAAAGCCAGGACCCTAAAAGGCCAACGCCAACCCAAGACTTGGCTGAGGTCCAAGCGGGAGATTCCCAGCAACAAGAATGGCACCAGGTTTTCAGAAAGCCCCAGCCTGCCGAATGCTAGACTCATTCAACAACGGAATAAACTCCAAAGACATTTTTCTCTGGAGTTACTCCCAAGTGTACTTCTAAGAGGACGGGGAGTGGACAACAGTCTTCTCCATTTTTGCTCCAAATGTAAAGCCTAACTAACAGTGTGCCTTTTCAACAACAGTTTCCTTATGTCCTTAGCACCATCACATTAATTCAGTAATAAATGAGAGGTGCCTGGAGTCCAGAAACCAAGCAGCAAATGGGAACTTCTCATCCCCGCCCTCAGAGGCAGCTTCCCACGGTTAGAAGGGGCCTTTCTGCTTGGGTTCGCACAGCTCCTTTGACATCTAGTGCAAAGTTCATTACTGCCCAACAGGGTAAGTCCACAAACAAGGAGCTGTACTTGGGGGCTTGAAAAACCCATTTCTAAATGAGCAATCTCTGAATTGCTTCTACTGTATGAGTCAACTACTGAGTGACAAAACGTAAACAGCTCCTCCTTTGGGAAGACATACAATTACTGAAGATCGCTATGTACTTCTAAAACTTGACATTCAAGTTTAATCAGACACATCACAGCTAACACCTCACAAATGACTAGATTGGACTGTTTTTCTTCACTTAATTAACAAACACTTCAGAACACCAGACACCATATACTTGGGTGGAAGAATAACGGCTAATAAGCGCTCACTATTTACCAGTTGCTACTCCAAGCACTTTACATGTATCTAGTCCTCATCACCGCCCTATGGAGTAGGGACTATTATTGCCATTTTACCAATGAGAAAACTGAAACCACAGGTTAAATAACTTGCCTAAGATCACACAGCTATTACGCAGCAGAAAGCTCTGAAGCCAGGCAGTTGAACTCTAAAGTCCATGCTTTGCTAAACTGCTGGTCAAGCTGTAAAGTGATCCAAGTTGGATCTGACTTATATTCATTCTTGAGCCACACACTGTTAAGGATGGAAAATGTACTGGCTAATCACTCCACACACTAGAAATCCTTGGCTTGGAACACATGGAGCGTGTGTGTGTGGCACAGTCCCCCCAGGCCACTTGGCATCATGAGGTAGGGATAGGCTTGGACAAAGCCAAAAGAAAAAAGACAACCTTTAAGCAACAGTATTTGCTCATAAAATCAAGGGATGTTGGAGGAAAAGGCATGATCTAATCCCGTTTGATAAGTGGAGTTCCAGTCAGGTACTCCAGAGATGGGAAGTGAAGCCTGAGCAGATGCAGAGGCTCAGGCCTGGACTGAGGCTTGAGGGGTAGCAATCCATATGCCAGAAGAGGTTTGGAACATTAGCAAACTGGGAAGCATATGATGCTAAAGGTTCTCAAAGAATTTTAAGTTTAAGCACTTAAAGAGTGCTGGATGGCCAAACACATCAATCTGTGGGTCAGAGTGGTCCATGGGCAAGAAATCTGTCTCCCTGGACTAGAGCAGATTTTCAGACAGCTATCTATGGAAGAGAGGTTGTGAGCAAATTCGTAGTAAGAGAAAAGCCTGATGTACTGAAAATACCACCTTTAAGTTCTATTAATTACATGGGGTGGTGGATAAAAGCAGACTGGATTCCAACTTAGTTTCAAGTACTTCCCCGCTCTGAGGATCAGCTTACTCTTCATACAATAGTGCTAACGCCAACTGCTTCACAGGGTTGCTGAGGATAAAAAGAAATCATAGCTGCTCCTCTAGTATATTAAGTGAATTTATTGGCCCACATACACTGTGGGAAGGCAGTGGTGGATTTGGCCTAGGGGCTGACTAAGGCTTCAGTGCCTTAATTAGGGCTTCCCCACCTTTTGGCTTTGCTCCTGTGTTAGATTTATTCTCTTGAACCGGCTTCTCCGCGTGGCAGGGGTACATGGCAGCTCAGACCTCACAACCTTACAGCTTTGTGACCAGAAGAAAAGGGCTTCTTTTCCCACCTCCAGTATGAAAAATCCCAGATAAGGATTCTGATCAGTGTGGTGTGGCTCAAACGTCCATCCCTTAGACCCGTGGTTCCCCAGATCAGCATCAGATCGTCAGGGAACTTGCTAGAAATGTA